CGATCGGTCTGCTCGGGCGATCGGTCTCGTCGGGCGATCGGTCTCGTATTTACTCGCTGTCGATTTGTACTTACTGTCGTTCCGTCTTCGTATAATTTAATTCGCCATTGGATCCGTGTCCTTAATGCATTTTTATATATTTATCTATGGATCATTTATTATTTTGACGCCAGCAAAGTGTCTTTATACTATCCGTACTTCTACAATGATTTATATTCGTAAACTCTCTCTCTGTCTCTCTCCCTCTCCCTCTTCCTCTTCCTCTCCCCGTATCAACTGTTCATAAACTGAGACGTCGTCACCTTTCATTCCCACATTGAGAAACGCTCCCCTAACGGTCTGCGTTATCTTCGAGCGGCGCGCGTCCTCTCATGATTCTCAATCCCGTCCCTTCACCCATTCTACCGAAATCCCTTAATCCAGATCAGATGGCAATGGGGTATATCGCATTTTACGCGCACTCTCACCCACGCACGCACACACACACACACACACACACACACACACACACCTACTCACTGGGAAGTGTTTACACTTCGTTTCTTCCACCTTTTTCTACTCGCCCGCAATTGGGCTTTTTTTCATCCTTTCCTTTTCCTTCTTTCTCATCTTTTACCATCCTTTCTTACTTACGCAAGAGCCAACATATTGCCTTTCTGTAATAATTGTACAGTCAATAATCACAGAACGTTCAGAACACTCGCTACACTCTCGCACTCAGGACAGGTTCGTCGATTTATTTAACGTTTATCGTGATTTACGGAAGTATTCTAAAATTTCGCTGTGGAGAGTAGCTCCTTTCCTTTTTATCACCATTCCTTCATAGAGGTCCACTAGGCCATCCTTTCACACACACATACACGTACACAAACACACAAAAGCACATACACCGGGTGACCCCCTTCTTCTCCCTATTTTCCCGGACTGATTTCAATTCATGGAATCTGTAGTTTTATTGAAGTCAGCATAAATCATCATCACCCCTTCACACACATTCTGAACTGCATCTTTTGTTTCCCATCACCACTTTCTTGTAAATCGCGTCCATCACTTTACCCTTAAACTTTAGTTTATTGACTAGCTTAACTGACGCAGCATAAATTGGCATCACCCCTTCACACACAAGTTCTGAACTGTGTCTTTTGTTTTCCATCACCAAATTTCTGTAAATCCAATGCGTCCACCACTTTACCCTCCCACACCAGGAGCCCCCGTCTCAATAATCGTCCTAATCCTGATTCACGGAAAGTGTAGTCTACATACTTTTAGCAATAATCGTTAGCATTACACTTACACACATTGTTTAATATCTTTACTTTCTCATTCTCATTGAGATTCATCGGTCCTTCTTTTCCAGACACTCACACCAGTCATTGCACTTCCTCTCGGGATGGCCTAATCCCGATTCACAGATGCTATAGTCCTCAAGCAGTCAGCAGAAATCGTCAGCATCCGTTAATACTTGTATAATGGACAATATTATTTCCATCACCACATCTTCGTCCGAATCAACTCGTTCATTTCTTCACACTGGCACCTCACACAGCCTCCTCTCGTTCCTTCGGTTAGACCCCAATTCACAGACGTTGTAGTCCCCAACGTATTAGCATAAATCGTCAGCACCCCTTCACCCTTACAACTTTCGGCGCTTTTCGCCACCACCTTTTCGATCAAATGCTTCCGTCCTTCCCTGCACATAGGCACACCGGATAACCTCCAATCAACTTGATCCCGATTCATTGAAACTGTAATGCTCGAGCCGGTAAAGTAAATCGTCAGCACACCTTTATGCTCACCTCTTCTAATATAATAATCCTTTTCCCATGACGACCTTCTGATCCAGATCCATCTGTTCCTTCCTTTGCACTGACCCACTGGGTAACCCCCTCCCCTCCGATCACGGATGCTCTAGTCCTAAAGCTATCAGCACAAATCGTCAAACCACTTCACTCTCTTATACTCTATAATAAACCTTCTTTTCCAGACCAACCTTCTGACCCAGATTCATTCGTCCATCCTCTTGCTCAGGTACACTGGACCACCTCCTATCTTACAACCAACTTGATCCCGATTCACGGAGATTGTAATCCCTGTGACTTCAACATAGTTCGTGAACACCCTTTCACGTATTATATAATAAATTTTCCTTTTCCATGACGACCTTCTGACACACATTCACCCGCCCCTCCGTTTACACTGACCCACTGGGTAACCCCCTCCCCTCCCTCTGTCTGATTTCGGTTCACGGAAGCTATAGTCTTTAAACTATGGGCATAAATCCTGAGTACCACTTAACACTCACACTTTTCATAATAATATTGCATATTTTCCCATGACGATCTTCACGGAAGCTGTAGTCTTTATATCATCGGTATTAATTGTGAGTACCCCTTCGCACTCACACTTTCCATAATAATATGGCATCTTTTCCCGTAACGACCTTCCGGTCCATATCCACCCGTCATACCCTTCACATTGACCAATCGGGCAGGTGCTTACCACTTTCTGTTCGCTATTCACGGAAGCTGTTACCATCGGCATAAATCGTAAGCACTCCTTCACACTCACACATTCTATAATAATAATGCTCCTTTTCCCGTGACGACCTTCCGTTCCAGATACACCCATCACGCCCTTCACTTTGACCCACCAAGGAGGTCCTTTCCACTTCCTGATTCCTATTCACGGAAGCTGTACTCTTTATACCATCAACATAAATCGTGAGCACCCCTTCACACTCACACATTCTATAGTAATAATCGTTCTCTTCCCATGAAGACCTTCCGCTCCAGAACCACCCGTCACACTGACCCACCGTGCAGGTCATTCCCACTGTCTGATCTATATTCACGGAACCTGTAGACTTTAAAACATCTGCATAAATCGTAAGCACCCCTTCACACTCACACATTCTATAACAATCCTTCTTTTCCCGCGTCGACCTTCTGATCAGATCACCGCCCTCCTTTCACACTGAGCCACGGACAGCCGCTCTCCCCCCAGCTCCCGCCGTTCCGATCCACGGGGGGGGGGGGAGGGGCTGGCGCCTCGCCGCGCCGCCGCGCGGGGCGCACATTGCGCCGGGCTGCGTGCGATCGAAGCGTCCGCGGCGCGGCGGCGGCCGGGCGACCCTGGCGCGGGCGCGGGCGAGGGCGGCGGGCGGCGGCGGCGAGGCAGTGCGTGGGTGTCGCAGCCAGCGAACGCGACTGGTCTCCCGCGCGCGGCGCGCTGGTGATGTGTGAGTGGTGTTGGTGAGCGGGCGCCGCGGACGACCGGAGAATGAGACGCAAGCCGCACCGTGTGCGGCGCGGACGCCAACGATCGTCCTCGTCCGTTAAAGCGCCCGTTGCAGCATCGCGCCGCGGACCGACGTCCCGGTGACTCCCTACCGCCAGGTGACACCAACTCCCGCCAGGCCGTGTGACGGTGTGAATAGTGCTCGCCCGGCGCCGCGGCTCGGACGCGGTCACGCGCGCTCTCACCCAGTCGATACGTCGCCGCGGTCGGCGGGGTTCGCGTTCGGCGCCGGGGCGTGAATGCGCGGCCTCCGGGCTGGGAGTGCCACGGCGTGCCTCGGATCGCTGTGATCCCACCGCTCATTCGTTTTCCCGCGCGCGCGCGTGTGTGTGTGTGTGTTCCAGTAGTAAAATTTCCGTTTAGTATGAGGACCTTGGGGTACGCCATGTTTGTGTGAATCCGTTCCCTCGCCTCCGCTGGCTGTGCTGAGCGATTCGCTTTCCCCGGCTGCGATTGTGTGTGTGTGTGTGTGTTTGGGAGAGAGTGAGAGAGAGAGAGAGGGATAGCGCCCCGGTGACCGGGGGATGGGCACACGCCCCGTCAGCGCCATGCCGGTCCGGGCCGTCGCCCGCCGGACGGTCCGTGTCGCCGCCCCCGCGGCTCCGCTCTCGCCCGCGCCCGCGCCGCCGCCGCCACCACCGCCGCCGGTGCAACCACACCCTCGCAAGTAGGAACGTCCGTGCGTGGCATTTGCGGCGCTCGCGGTCGCCGGGGCGCCCGCCCGCGGAGAGCGTGTGCGTGCGTGCGTGCGTGTGACATTTGAGCGAGTGACCCGCCCGCGCCGGCCCCATGACGCCCGTACTCTTCCTCAAGATCATCCGATCCAAGGCGGCTGGCAGGGGGTTGCGGGCAGCCTCGCGACGGCCGACGCGCCCCCGCTCTCGCGCGGTTTAGCTCAGCACAACGAACCGGTTTGATCGCTCTCTCTTCCTACTCTCTACCCGCTCTCTACTGCCTCTTTTCGCTCTCTACTCACTCTCTTACTACTCTCTACCTACTCTCCTTCTGCTCTTACCTGCTCTCTTCCCGCTCTCTAAACGTTCCCTTTCCATTTTCTACGAGCTCTTTGCTGCTATCCACCCGCTCACTGAGCGTTCACTATCCGTTCTTTCTGTTCTATACCTTCCATCGTACCTGCTCTCATTGCCGCTCTCTTCACGATCTACCCCTTTTCTTTACTCGCCCTCTTTTTACTGTTCACTACTCACATTCTTCCTGATCTCCGCATACTATCTTCCTGCTTTGTATCGCCTCAGTTTCTACTGTGTACCCGCACTAATTGCTGCTCTCAACCCGCTCTTTTTACTGCTCTGTGCGGCCTCTCATCCTTCTCCCACTCTCTAACTGCTCTCTACTCGCTCTCTTCGTGCTCCGACTCTCATTAAACCCACTCACTTCCGATCTTCCGTCTCTCCTACTCCTCACAACTGCCCTCTTTGAGCTCTCTGCTACTTCAATCCGCTCTCTTCCCGCTTTCACCCGCTCTCGCCCGCTCTCCTTCTCGCGGCGTCGATGTCGTGGGCGAGGGGTCGCTCCGGATGATTTCCCGGGACTCGAAGAGAATAACTTATAACTGCCAGTGAGGAATCTTTAGGTTTTTGGGGGGTGGTCCTGCGAAATGTGCATTTTTTTCCTGGGGTTTCGTTTGTAAAAACGCGCTTGTCATTTTGGAACGATATTGATGTTTTAAATATATACATATATATAATAAATAAATGAATAAAATCTTTTAATTTTTGAAACAAACGTTGGAGATTCTTTAACTTTGTAAACTAACGTCCTTTAACAAGCTTGGATTTACAACATTTCTAAAAACAATTGTGATAAACATAAAATGGGTATTAAAATTAATGTTGAAAATAGTATAATTAAAATAATAAAATAGGAATTTCATGTGATTTTTATCGACTGGATGTTATCGATTAATAGTTGAATCTGTGACTACAATATTATTAGTAATAATATTATAAGAGTAAGAAGAACATAAAGTTTCCCATTGCTCATATTTGTAAAAAAATCTAACTGATCGTCTCGGATTTTGCGAAGGAGTATAACTAGGATTCTAAATTTGCCACCCCTGTGTCTTGCATTTATTGAATAATTGTTCGTGTATATATTACTACGTGTGCGTATCGTGTCAATTTGTTGGTTTCTTTTGTAAAGTGGTACAAAGAGAAGAGATTCGAAAGTTATTTGTTTATTGTACGTTCACGAGTTACACCACACGTAACCCGTTACCCGCGCGTTCACGCACGCACGCGCGCGCGCGCACACACACACACACACACGCGCGCGGCCAAGCGTTCACCGGGGGGCGCTCGACGAGGCACAGCGGTCGAGCCGAGAGCGCCGCGGCGGCGCGGGCGGGAACTACCAATGACAGCACCCACCGCTTCCTGGGCACTCTTTCCTTCCTCCATGGCACAAGATGTCTGACGGCGGGTTACCGGCATCCGCGCTTCCACTGCACCACGTCCGCCGACGCGCCCCCGACGCCGGCAACGTCATCAAGTGGGCGGCCACCGTCGCCTCGTGAACCGTAGCCACCGACGCCGCCACCCGCCCTGCCCCTGAACGGCCGGCGGACGCACCACGCCTTGCATCGCGCCCGGGCCCAGGCTCGTCCACCGCTCCGCACCGAACGGCTCGCGGCAGCGCGTGTGTTTTGTTCCTTCGTGTGTCGCTCCGTTTTGTACTGCTCAGAGAGAAACACGAGAAGCATCTTCTTTTTGTTAAACGAAAAAAATAAGCTGTGTTTCTCTAAATGAAAGAAATTAATAAATTATCGCGTGTGTGGAACTAATTCTTCCTTAGAAATATTAAGAGTTATAATATACAACGTGTCAAAAGTCGTCGCACAACCACTAGAAAATAAGGGTTAGATAAAGTTATCAGAAAACAAATCATTACTTATTACGGGTGTTAAATAAGCAGAAAAGGCGTGGGGTTGTGAATGCTATACTGCTGTTCCTCCTGTGTGTTCAAGAGACGTTTTTTTTCGTGTACTTCTTTCAGAAGGCCAAGTGTGATAGAAAAGTTATTACAAATTGTAGCTCCATATCTCACATGCGTAGCTCAAGTGCTATATATTTCCACGTACGAGAGACCCAAACTCCGATTCGTAATCAAACAAAATCTGTGAAAGGTGAAAACGGGAGGATCGAATTCATCTCGCAAGTTGTGTGGAGGGTGTGAAACGCAAACCTAGATCCGTAACTTGTGCCATCTACAGTCTTCGCAGCTCGAAGCCGCAAGATTAAACGTGAAGTGAGAGGAGATAGATCAGATTCCCGACCAAGCTCCCCCCTTGTCCGTTTTCAACCGTTTAGTATGACCTCCCAAACTAAGGTGTGTTTTGTTTAAAATGGCTGAGAAGTCGCAAACCCATCATACATCCTCGAAAGGCTTCAAGGATACGTGGAAAATAGAAAACATTTGCAAGAACCTTTTTCATATCGTGAGGCAGAAACGATTTCGGGTTTTACAGACAGTGCAAACGAGCTGGCGAGGAACTAGCAACTAGTATTAAAAAATTCGCTTGTGTAAGGCCGGTGCCTAGTGAGAGACGAAGTGTGTTCTGTGCGCGTGTGGTTGTGAGAATCGAGAGTGTTAATTGTGGCGGAACCGAAGGAAAACGATGATGGTTCGAGAGAAGGCCAGAGGAGAGACGTGAGAAAGAAGGACCCTGAGATTCAATTGGTTCCCGGATCCCCATTCAGTATGGTGGATCTTGGGGGCTATGTGATCATATTGGTAGAGACGAAGGACAAGAAGATAAAACTGTATGGTGAGTAACAGCCACTAGGGCAGAAGTAGATCGATTTAGTTGTAGACACCCATTTTAGTGTTAATGAAACACGTTTGTGATAAGTCTAGGACAATGTGAGATGTCCATGCTTTAATATTTTTAATTCAACAAATATTCTGTAATCTTTTACGGTTTCCATTCTTTCAGTTCAATTACTCTTCCACTTTCATTTCATTTCATAGGTGAATAAAAAGAGAGGCGCTAGAGATTCCGATGGTAAAGAAATCGTACGCAGTCGACAATTCTCCATTCAAATTTTCCTTTTCTACTAATCAATGAAATAAAATTTAAATTCACATTGGCATTCAGTCTGTTAATAACTTTATTTTTTTCTATTTCTTCTTTTAATTTTCTTATTCTCTTTTACAACGCTCCTTGATATCTAATAACATCCTATTTTAACTTCCTTTTTCTCTTGAATTTGTTTGGTGCACCCTCCTCTTATTATTTGCACCTGCTCATCAGACCGTGTCCCTCTAAATACCCATTCATTTTTTTTCACATACATTCTCTTTCACGCCAATGATCATGTATCAATTATTTAATTCCTTACTTATCAATTATTCAATTATTTATATACTTATTTTCATGCACTCAGATTCTTAATTAATTTTCGTATATACATTTTTATTTGCTTTTTTCCAGTTAATCAATTTCATTCATGAATTTATTATTTTATATTAATTCAATCATGCATTAATTCGTACACTTATTCAATATTAATAATTCATTCATATTAATTTTCATTAATTTTTATTCATTTACAAATATTTTCTAAGCTCTTATTTTCCCCTTCATTCCTTTTTTCACTCTTTCACTTTTTCACTTCAAAATCGTTTGCCATATCCCCCTACTCTCTTTCTCTTGCACACACACACACACTCTCTCTCTCTCTCTCTCTCTCTCTCTCTCTCTCTCTCGCACCTTCACACGCGGTCCTCCGCGTTTTTATTCCTTCTCCGCTCTGATTTTTCACTTTATACCCATTTCTTTCCTTTCCCTGTTCTCCTCTGCCCCTCGCCCTCTCTCTTCTTTCCTGTATGCCTCCTTCCGTCTGTCTCTTCCGTCTGTTTCTTCCTCTCCCTGTCTCACCCTCATCCTGTATACACTTCCCCATAACCATCTCTCTCTATATCTTCCTCTCTCCATCTCTTCTTACCTAATATCTCTTCTTCTCTCCCTCTCTCTCTGTGTATTTTTCTCTCTTTCTCTTTCTGTCTCTTCCACTCTCTCTCTCTCGCTTTATTTATCTCTCGCTTTATTTATCTCTCGCTTTATTTATCTCTCGCTTTATTTCTCTCTCGCTTTATTTCTCTCTCGCTTTATTTCTCTCTCGCTTTATTTCTCTCCAAAGAAAAAGAAAAAAAAAAAAACCAAACAACCACGCAGAAAAAAGAAAAAAGAGAAAACACGTCGCTGAAAAAAAAGAAAGGGGCACGAGACAGACAGAAAGAACACCAGACCAGAAAGAAGACACGCAGTCAGAAAAGAGACACCCAGAAAAAAAACAGAAGAACAGAAAGAACAGCCCAGAAAAAAGAGAGACACCCCAGGAGAAAGGGGAATAAAGAGAGACACGCAGAAAGAAAGAGACACGCAGGAAAAGAAAGAACACGCCAGAAAGAAGAGGAAAGAAGATATGGACAGAGTCAGAGATGGACAGAGTCAGAAGATGGACAGATCAGAGAATGACAGATCAGAGAACAGATCAGAGATGGACAGAGTCCAAGAGGACAGAGTCAGAAGATACAGGAGTCAGAGATGAACAGTCAAGATCTGACAATCAAGGGTCAAGTCAGAGATGGACAGAGAGCTATTCAAGAGCATGAAGATCTCAGACATGACAGAGTCATAGATGACAGATTCAAGAGATGGACAGAGTCAGAGATGGACAGAGTCAGATATGGGACAGAGACAGAGATGACAGAGAAAGAGATGGACAGAGACAGGAAATACAAGACAGAGATGACAGAGACAAGATGGGACAGAACAGAGATACAAACAAACGATGGACAGAGACAAGAGACAGAGACAGAGATGAGACAGAATCCAGAGATGGACAGAGACAGAGATGGAGCGAGAAACAGAATGGACAGAACAGATGGTACAGAGACAGAGATGGACAAACAGAATTACAGAGTCGAGTGACCAGAGTCAGAGATGCAGAGTCAGAGATGGACAAGACAGAGCATACAAGACAGAGATGACAGAGACAGAGATGGACAGAACAGAGAATGTACAGACAGAGAGTGGGACAGCAGACAGAGAGACAAGACCAGAGATGGACGAAGACAGGATGGACGAGTCAGAGAAACAAGAGAAGGAGAGACAAGAAGACAGAGAGAAAAGACAGAAGAACAGATAAGGCAGAGAAGGACCAGAGGAAACAAGACAACAGAGACGATACAGGAAACATGAGAGAGGATACAGAGGGAGAGACAAGAGAGACAGAAGAGACAGAGAAACAAGAGAGACAGAGAGAGACAGAGAAGACAGAAGAAACAGGAGAACAAGAGAACAGAGAAACAGAGAAGACAGGAGAACAAGAGAGATAACAGGAGAGACATGAGAGAGCGACCAGAGAGAGACAGAGAGAGACAGAGAGAACAGAAGAGACAAGGAGACAGAGAAGACAGAGAGAGACAGAGAGACCAAGAGAGAGACAGAAGCAAGACAATACAAGAGAACAGAGACAGAGAGACAGAGACAAAAAGAGATAAATAGACAAAGAGAACCAAATAGACAAAGAACAAAAACCAAGACAAATAGAGAAAGAGACAAATAGAGAAAGAGCAATAGAGAAAGGCAATAGAGAAAGAGCAATTAGAGAAAGAGGCATTATAGAAAGGGCCAAATAGAAAAGAAACAAATAGAGAAGAGACAAATAGAGAAAAGACCAAATAGAGAAAGAGACAACATAGAGAAAGAGACAAATAGGAGAAAGAGAAATACAGAAAATAGACAGGAAAGATAGAGAAAAGAGAGCAGAGAAGAGACAGAAGACAAGAGGACGAGAAAAAAAATCTGAAAGCGAGAGAGAAATAAAACGAGAAAGAAATTAAGCGAGAGAGAAATAAAGCGAGAGGGAAATAAACGCGACGAGAAAAAACAGAGGGAAAATAAAGCGAGAGGGAAATAAAGCGAGAGAAAATAAACGAGAGAGAAATAAAGCGAGAGGAAATAAAGCCGAGAGAGAAATAAAGCGAGAGAGAAATAAAGCGAGAAGAGAAAGAAAGCGAGAGAGATAAAGCCGAAGAGGAAATAAAGCGAGAAGAGGAAATAAAGCGAGACGAAAATAAGCGGAGAGAGAAATAAGCGAGAGAAATAAAATGCCCGAAGAGAAA